CTTTATTACTGCACTATTTGTGATACAAACTGAAATTATGGTGTCATTTTTTTGTGTCAATTTTGTTGTGGGTTCAATTTGTGCTATAAATTTTCTCTTAGTGTTTGTTTCTTGGGTTCATTGGTGTTCTTGATATTGTGTATTTGCACTGACAAAATTCCCTTTATTGTAGAGGTACATTTGATGCTGTATTGTATGCCTATTTTCTTGGTCAAAGTGAATCTTGAGTTCATAATAAGGTATTCAATGAGCTCCCATATCACGGGTTCGGCAGCAAAACCCTGGTATTTAAGTGGAGAAGGGTAGATGGGGAGAGGGGTCGAACTGTGGTGCCACTAGCCTCCGAGATTTCTCGGTTATCCAACTTAATGTGGTTGTTCTCTGTTTCTCAGATAGTGGTTCCTAGAGAATTTTGTTTTGCCATAAAAAGAACTGATGTTGCTCACTTTTTCTTTTTTCAGTTTTAATTTGAGTTTCCTGGGTGGGGTGGCACTAGGATCTTGATTTTATCTACCACCGTGGTCATTGTACACTGAGGTGTTAGTACATCTATGCTGCGTTCTAGCAGTCTTTTGTTCTGATTCAGATGAAGCTTTGCCTTAATTTCTAGGCGTAGTTGCTTTTGCCTTGTGTGAACATGGGATTGTTGAGTGATGACTTGAAAATGCAGTACGTTGTAACAGGAAAGGATTTCTATGTTGTAGGAGGTTTATGAGAGTGTAATTGAGATGAGAATTGCTTTTTACTGAAGTGTGAAGTCTGTACTTTTCCTTCATCAACCAGGTGTTGATTTAACTGCCAAAGTTTTATTTATTTCAATTTTTTAATGAAGGGGCGTTAATAAATTCAGGATTATATCTCTTTTCGGTTTATCCCTTTTTTCTAGTAACTTCAGTTTATTTGGTAACCCGGACGCTGTAATCAGATACCGAAGGAGAATAATATGCAGCATGTCATGTCCCATGGAGTGCTTAGTCATGTATAGTATGCATATGGTGGATTATTTGGATGCCACTGTAGAGAGTCTTTCTTTGCTTTATCTAAGAGCCTACTGTTTGCAAGATTGAGTGGACTAAGAATTGATAATCTACTTTAGAGGGTCTTACCATATAAGTAGAGCGATAAAAGGACCGATGAGTGGTTCAAGTCAAAACTATTGACAAGACAAGTTCAATTATAATGGGATCTCAGCTGATTGATAGTAAGGAGTATATAGCTAGAAGTTTCCAATAGTAAATGGTCTAGGATTAGGTTCTTTATTACTGATAATATGCTATTATGACTTTCTACACTTAACATTACACAATTATATGCACAAGTGGCCATATTCGTTTGATTTAGATTGAGTTGCATTTTTCATCTTTGTCTGTTTGCTTTCAGTCTTCTTCCTTTTTTATTAGAATACTAAGGGGGCGTTTGGTACAAAGGTGGGATATCCCATGCGATTAATTATCCCACCTTCTATATGGGATAACTAATCCCTCCATTTTAGTGTAAAAGTTATCCCGGGATTAGCTAATACCCCAAACCAAACATGGGATAAAGTCAATCCCAAACCTTAACCCGGGATTATTATTCTTATCCCATGTACCAAACGACCCCTAAGGATTATATTTATGAAGCCATTTGTTGTATTCAGTTCGTTGGAGATTGAAATCAGTCACCATTTAATGGAACTTGAGATTCGATATTGAAAGGGCTAATGATTAGTATATTGATTTTGCAAGTATCCAAAGCCAATTCTTCATCTTGATGATCCTGGACACTGTTACTAGAAACAGTTAAGCTGAACAAGAAAGTTAGCATTATATCATAATTTTACCAATAGGAGTTGGGCGAACTTGTCAAGCTTTTACAATGTGATCAAATCATAGACTCAAGAACATTTTGTTTTGTCGTTTCAAAGTAAGTACATATATCGTTCAAGAAGAAGAGGTTTGACGGTTATGAAGGAAGCAATATGTATTTGATGGTTTTCTGTATTGTTGGTAGCATCTTTTTGAGTTATCTATTGATTTCACGCTTCTCTTTTGGTGAGTTTTGAAGCAGGATATATTTTGAGATTCTTATTCATCTAAAGAATAGAAAGGCACCTTATGTAACTTTTCACGTTCCCTTATTATTGATAGCCCTGGCTGTCCCTGATTGTAGCACCTTTTTCTAGTAAGGAAAAGGAGTAAAATAATCTTTGACCGTAAATACCTAATTTGGAAGACGTTACATGACTTGACTATTGCATGAAGCAATAATAAGAAATAATATGTTTTCATATACCCATAATACTAAGCTTAATTGTTTTTTGTTATTTCATTTTTGGTGCAAAGAGAGCTATAGGGAGGATGTACATTCTTTACTAGATTTGCTAGAAGAAATGTAATCGATTAGAATAGGCAAGGCAGTTGCAGATCTTTTGGGGTCTGATTGTGGCTTACACAATCTCCTGTAAATATTTTTAATCATTTATATAATTTGTTACCATTCTCAAAAAATATACCCATAATACTAAACTGCACTTTTCCATGTACAATATTGAAATACACAAAGTCGTTCATTATATGACAATATCATTTTAAATTAAGGTTAATGTTGTAAACGTATCACTGCTACGCATCTAGAACGTCTCAGACACGTTTATAGTTTTATTCCTTTCCCTCGTTAGGATGCAGTAGTGGGCCTCTTATTCCAGTTTTATTTATCAATGGTTGTATGAGTGTGCCTGTGTCATATTATAGGTATATCTTAACTTAGCGACTACAATTATTTGGCTTGACTATGTTTTCATATGCTTATAGAGACTAAGCTGTACTTAGACAATTATGAAATACACAGTAATTTGTAATATGAAAGTATAATTTAAAATGTATCACTGTTACGTGTCTAGAGCCCATTTGAGATTCTGATAGTTTTCCATTAGGATGCATTTGGTAGGCCTTCTACTCCAGTTTCTTTATCGAAAAAATGAGTGTGCCTGTGTCATATTATAGGTATCGCTTGGTTTATGACTACAAATTATTTGCTTGACACCTCATCAGGAAAAAGGAATAGAAAAATTATTTGGCGTCACATTTTGCTGTCTCTAGATATTAGTTACATACAATATGATGTGGGAAACGAAAGTTTTCATGCTCTAGAAAATTAGCTGGGGTCACTGGTAGCTGGAGCTCCTTAGCACTGCCTTGAGGCTCATTCACCTGGGTTCAGTTCTTGATTGAAGCATACAATTATTCTTTAAACTTGTCCAAAAGAAGTTTTCATGCTCTATATTAAGATGGTCAAGCTAAATTGCTGGTAAAATGACTGGTTGGCCTTGGAGTTGGCAACTAATCATTGAAGAACCCTATTAAAGAATGATAGAAAGAAAAAAGGACATTAAGTGGTAAATATTATGACTTAATTTCAGGTTAGTAAGAGGCTAGGTTTCTATAGATCTGATTTGTTTCTGGACAATTAGGGTAAATGCAACTTCTTACATCTGTATGGGCTGATTCAGAAAATAGGAAGTTTAATTTGGTTACTTCAGGTGGATACAGAGATAGCTATATGTTGTTTTCATATTTCCTAATGCATTTATTCAACTGCCTAGTGAGAAGAAGCTGTAGAAAGGAATAGGGGAGGCAGTTTGCTATGAATTTTTATTATCTCTGAGAATACTTAAAACAAATAAATAGAACATATTTCCTTAATCTCATCACTGGTGTTGTCTTTTCTAATTTTTGTCTCAAAGACATTGAGAAAGTTGCTGAAATTATGAAAAAGAACTGATGGCTCATTGGGTAACTATGACTCCCATTCTTGTTTCATGTATGTGTTTGTTTCTAATACAAAAAGGTTTTTGATATCTTAGTTACAAGAGAAACTTTGAAGTACAATAGTTACAACAAGTTAAGTTTGATATATGTGAAATATTTAAAATCAGCTTGATATAAATTAAGAAGTACGGAATCAAAAATCAGCTTGATATCAAAAAAAAATTAAGAAGTACGGAGTAAACTGTAGTGAGGTTTGCTGCTGGAGAAGGTACATAAGTGATAAGTGTGAACCTAGTAAAGGTGGACAAAGGAAGAAGGAATGGGTGTAGTTTTTTGTAGGTTGTTCCGGATTTAGTTTTTTGCAGGTTGTGGGTGGGTCGGCGCCTGTTGGGAATGGATTGGCTTCAAAGGATGTTTCAAAAGAAATGAAAGGAAGTTGCAAATTTTGGTCTTCTCCTCTTATCTTCAGGCTTTTTGCAATACAGACAGAGATTTTATTTTACCGTTAAATCTGTTAATGGATTTTGTATTGATTTCCAGACCTTCCTTTAGGTACTAAATGAAACTACCTTTAATCTCATGTAAAACAACTAAATGCATCTTTGAGGTGCTGGCGAGAAACTGAGGGCCCTATTTGAGCAAGAATAGGTGATCAAGAAATATTATTGGAAACCAATAATCTTGCTAAAAAGAGCTTGCCAAAGATCTTAATTTAGCAGTAATATAACATGTTTCTCCCTTTCTTAGTTCCCACTTTAGCCTCCCTGGGCGCAGGATTTTTCTTCACTGTAGATCTTGGCTTTGGCTTAAAAGGTTTCTAGGTGCATTCAACTTAGATCAACTCTCACCTTCAGCTCATCTGATAAGTTATGATCCCACGACTTAGAATTTATGGCATTGGAGAAGCGCCTGGTTGTTGTCACCTGTCATCCTACAATGTAGGAGCATGACCTACATTTGCCAACAGGTTAATGGAGAAAGTTCTTTTTTGTATAGTTTAATTAGAAGTTTACTCGAATCTATATTCAGAACATTCACAGGAAAAATAATTCTGTGAACCCTAAGGGTCATTTAATTCATAGTCTAGTTTATAGTGTAAAAGTTCTTATGTGGTGAATAATAATGTAACAATTCTTATGTGATTAATAATAATATGTGGATTGCTATATGGTGAATAATTTTACATGAATAATATTGAAGGGATAGCCAACTTTAAGGGCACTTTTGTTTTTACTTATCCATGTATTGCTAATACACATTCTTATTTCATATTATATTCCGTATACAGTAATACATAGTCTCGTGTAAGTTATACTGATATTAGCAATACAACATTTGGTTTTGTTGTATTAATCTCTGCATAACCAGAAAGCAAACATTGCGTTAGTCGTTGGAGATTATACTAGCAATACACCTTTTTATATCGGAAAGCAAGCGCTGTATAATAATACATAATTTAATACCGAGATTAATATTCCTTATCCCTCAAACCACAGACCCCTAGGAGTCCCAGTAGTCCCTTGTTGTGCAGTTCTGGAGCAATCACTCTAGTTTTAGTCTCTTTCCCAACCTTTGAAAATGCTGTGTGTGATCATTGAGCATTATTTGACCTTCTTACTATTGCCCTAGTGCTTGGGAGCTGGAATTTCCGACAGAGTTCTCTAAGTAAAAAAAATTAAGGTCATTCACAACTTTACAAGGGTAGTGGTCTACTGGCCAAAAGATTGAGCAGTTAATTTTAAACTCTATGGGAACATAAATAACCCAGCAGCATCTAATTGCATATTACAGCCATGAATGCACAACAATTTTTACACTACTCTACAGTCCTATGTCTAGTTTTATTTCTCCAGTTTTCTGTATGAGATCTGGACCGTATATGATTTGTCAAGTCAATTTGGTATTGTAAAAATATCGTACTAGTGGATTCTTATTAGAAGAGAACACTTTCTTTCATGAATTTTCTCAGTATGTTTATATTTTGTGAGCCTGCATGTGTGGGGAAGCCAAATATGTATTTTTTCTTTGTTTTTGGCGTAGGATGGCTGTCATAATCTATAATTGATGAAAATGTGAACTTGGTGTGTTGCATTTGCAAAGGTTGAAATTGTTGCATGTCACCAAAACTTTTGGGATCTCTACTGGCAATCATGACATGCACATAAATTGATATAAGGTTTCTAAACTTCCATTTCGATTATTTGCATCCCGAGCACATTATCACATAATCACTTTCAATAGGTTCCTTTGCAGTGGCATCTAATAGAACCTTATTTTCTTTGAATGCATTGCGCAGCAAAAGAGATTGTGCACCAAGTGAAATATGAGTCTGGCATGTTTGGTATGCCATAGTGTTGAAAGCCCATCACATTCCTTCAGAAGTTACTCTGTTTCAAGTTCCGACAACGATGGGAGATGTTCGGCGATTGCCAATTGCTTGATCAAGAAGATAACGCTTAGCCACCCCAATGCAAACGGTGGCATCACAACATCTAAAGTAACCCCTCAGCCAACTGATCAGAGTAATGGCATGACAGGTCCCCCACGACTCGTTAGGAGCCGTGCCGTGAGGAGGGATATAGTGAGAGACTGGAACTTTGATGAGGTTGCATTGGAGCGCTAGTCCAGTATTGGAAAGAGCAATATGTAGGCGCAGAGACAATATGCTTGTTTTTAGTGTTAAATCAGGTAGAATTTTTAACTCAGTACTTTGAATCTAGTTTTGGGTGTAATTGGTGTTGCAGCAAATGCCACACTATGAAGAATTTTTTATATAAATCATCTGTTGATATTCCCTTCCCTTCTCTCTATTTTCAACTCCTGTTCTGGTTTTCTAGCTCGAAATTGATTAGGTCTACTTCTGCTACTTTTTTTTTTCATTTAATAAAGACACTCTCCGTTTCATTTTATATGTCAATGTTTGGGTGAAAATGAAGTTTAAGGTATCAATTGGATGTATTTATTACCTGTATTTAGATAAAAACAACAAAGTACAATTGTTAAAGATTTAATTTTGTACAAAAGTAATCACATCAAAAGTTTAAATAGATAAATAAATGGAAAAATTTCACATTAGAACAATTGGGCTCCATACTTTTCAATTTTATAGCCCATATTTCAATTTACAACCAACTAGCTCAAAAATAATAGGCTAAGATTCAACATCCAACTCCAATAGGTTCTCAAAATTACTATTTATTTTTAAAAAAAGATTCCTCAAGCTTTTAAATTAATTTTCGAATCAATAACTGTGACTCAAATATTAATTCAAGAAATCAAATTCATTTGGACGGTGAAAATTAGATTTTTGACAAGCTTAAATATGTGAGTTTAAATTTCGAATTTGATTTTGTGAGAAATTTGGAGTGGGTGTTATTTAGACTTGTTAGAAATTGTATAAGGAGGTTGTATATAAAATTTGAAGTCATTTAATGGAAATTTGGACTGGTTTTGAACAAGAATTGCAACTGAAAATCGTGGAAGAAGTTCGTCTACAGATGCTTGTATAAAGATGTATAAAAGTGTATAGTAGTGTATAAGGTGTGTTTCTACACTCATATACACTACTATACATAATTATACAAAAAACTGACTTCGTCCTCTTCCTTGCGTCTTTTCTAAAATTTAACTCAAATCTACTCCAAATCGCTTCAAATTTAAATTTTGAACTTATTTTGATAGTTTCAATCAATTGGAACAACACCCAATCCAAACAACTAATAAATTCAAAAAAATCCATTTTCAAAAGCAAAACTTTGGATGGTCTTGAATGGTGGACTTCTACTCTTCAATTTTCTTACATTACAAGCAGGTGACACAAGGGTAGAAGCATAAAATACACAACCCCTAGAAGCATATGTTGAAGATGTGAGAGGAAGAGAGAGTAAAAACAAGTTGTGAGAACACAGATTTAATTCCATAGCTTTTAAAAGCAATGGTTATAGAACACAGATTTTAAATTTGCTAGTGCTTTCAAATATGTAAAATATGGGCTAGGTGGGGTAAAACTTAAACACATGAGTCATTTTGTGTTATGGTAAGAAGTCATGTGTATTTTCTTGTAATTCTTTCTAAGTTATATTTGTATAAATCTTGGAGTTAGGTGTCTAGTAATATGTTCACATTTTATTACCAAATTTTGTCAAGAGTAAGTATATGTGGTCTCAATTCAAATATTTAATAGACTTTATTTCTTAAATTTAATGAAAATTATAAAAAAATTCACTAGACAAAATATATCCAAAAATAAAAGGCAAAAGCTACACTTCTCTAGATAAAAGAAATAAATTAAAAAAATAGTAAAAACTGTAAAAAAAAAAATTACAAGAAAATACACATGACTTCACACCATAACAAAAAATGGCCCATGTTTTTAAGTTTTACCTCACCTAACCCACATTGTACATATTTTGAAAGCACTTCCAAATTCAAAATCTGTGTTCTTACAACCATTGCTTCTAAAAGTTATGGAGTTAATTCTTTGTTCTCACAACCATTGCTTTCACTCTCTCTTCTTCTCATATCTTCTACATATGCATTTTCTGCTTCTCCTCTTGTGTCAACTGCTTTCAATGTAAGAAAATTGAAGAGTAGAAGTCCACCATTGAAGACCATTCAAACCTTTGCTTTTGAAAATGGTTTTTTCTAAATTTGTTAGTTGTTTGGATTGGATGTTGTTCCAATTGATTGAGAATATCAAAAGGAGTTCAAAATTTAAATTTGAAGTGATTTGGAGTAGATTTGAGTTAAATTTAAGAAAAGACGCAAGGAAGAAGACGAAGTCAGTTTTTTGTATAATCATGTATAATCTTGTATATGAGTGTAGAAACACACCTTATACACTATTATACACTTTTATACATCTTTATACAAGCATCTGTAGACGAACTTCTTCCACAATTTTCAGTTGCAATTCTTGTTCAAAACCAGTCCAAATCTCCATTAAATGACTTCAAATTTTATATACAACCTCCTTATACTATTTCTAACAAGTCTAAATAACACCCACTCCAAATTTCTCACAAAATCAAATTCGAAATTTAAACCCACATATTTAACCTTGTTAAAAATCTAATTTTCACCGCCCAAATGAATTTGATTTCTTGAATTAATATTTGAGTCACAGTTACTGATTCGAAAATTAATTTAAAAGCTTGAGGAATCTTTTTTAAAAATTAAATAATAATTTTGAGAACCTATTGGAGTTGGATGTTGAATCTTAGCATATATTTTTGGGCTAATTGGTTGTAAATTATTATATGGGCTATAAACTTAAAAAGCATGGAGCCCAACTGTTCTAATGTGAAATTTTCCCTAAAATACTGCGTCTCTAAATATGAAATTTCATTAGATCCTTTTCTTTACCATTCTCAGTCGATCTAACAGCTAGAATTGAAAAATATTTTATGAAAATTAGAAGTGCATGTTCTTGGCAAACCAAAATACTTATAAGGATATTAGAGCAATTACTTTAAACTTATCCTAAGCAATATTAGGGATTATTTTTGTATTTTTCTCCACAAATTTATGAGTATTTCATATTACACCTCTGAGTCTGTCACTGACCTCGTCTTCTCCGTTTAAATATTTTGATAAAAAAAAATGCAAGCAAGATCAATCATTCCACAGATTCTATAAACATCATTTATTTACACACAACTTGAATCAGTTAAATCAACACAGAAATCCTATTATATAGATGAAACAGGAACCTCAAAGAACAACAACATGATGCCACTGAAGAACACCAATTCATCCTGCAGTATCCCTTCTCTCTTCGTCTCTCTCTCTATACTCTGCATTTTACCACTTTCCCTCTTCTTTTTCCACTCCTCTCCAACCCCAATTAACCCAAATTTCAACTTTCAAGAATCTCGTAATTCCATCAAAGTTTACATAGCAGATCTTCCAAGATCCCTCAACTATGGATTACTTGAAAAGTACTGGGCTTTAGATTCTGATTCAAGAATTGGGAGTGAAGTAGATAATGAAATAAGAAAGACCCATATGGGCAAAAGTTCTCAAAACTTACTTCCTTATCCAGAAAACCCAATAATCAAACAGTACAGTGCTGAGTATTGGATCTTGGGTGATTTGATGACACCAGAAAATTTAAAGTTTGGATCTTTTGCTAAAAGGGTGTTTAGTGCTGAGGAAGCTGATGTGATTTTTGTTCCCTTTTTTGCTACATTGAGTGCTGAGATGCAACTGATTGTAAATAAGGGTGTGTTTAGAAAGAAGGAGAGGAATGAGGATTATGAGAGACAAAGAATGGCGTTGGATTTTGTGAAGCAAACTGAAGCTTGGAAACGATCTGGTGGACGTGATCATGTGTTTGTTATTACTGGTAAGTACTGGAACTCACTGCTTTTTATGCATAGTTGTATGTAATTGGTTCATGACATTTTAGCAAATTTATTCGATTGCTTAGTATGCTGCTTCTGTAGAGACGATGCATCAATGTTCTTGAGGAAATATGAAGTTATAATTCTTTTCTAAATTTGGAGATGATTTGAGAGTCTCAAAAAATAGAAAGTTGAGTTGGATTGGAGGAGACAAAATGCTACTAAAATGTAAAACAAGAATGACTGCAATTTTGATAGGGAAATTTTGAGTTTGCTATTGTACTATTTCTAGTATCGCGGATTGCAATTAGGAATTTGGTAGGGGATTTGTGAGTCATGATAACTATGCTCTGGAGTCTTTTGATCTTTCTAGTTATTGTTTATTGTGCATTGTTGCTTTAGAGATTGGATAATACTGGGTATGTTGTTGTTGTTGTTGTTGTTGTTGTTGTTGCTTGAGAGATTGGATAATTGTTGTTTTGGATGAAGCTTGTATAGTTCTTTCTTTATGATGTGTATTAGAGACTGTTGGGTGCTACCAGTGCTTTTTTCAATAGAATTTGATCTTTTTGCAGTTAGGGTAATCATTTGTTTAGAGAGGTTCCATTCTTCTATATGTGCTAACTTTTGGTTTTAGTGACTTCCGAAGTGTGGAAGTAATCTGCATATGAAGTCAGATGTTTTTTTTCCTGAAATAAAAGAAGGAACTGAGCCAGTTATGTTTTTCTTGATATTATTTTGTAAATGCTCTTCAAAATAGCAAGAAATAGGTGAATATCGTGCTTAGTCTTTCAGGATGCAGCTCAGCTTCAACTGAACTGCAACAATCATCTATCTGATTTAAGTTGTGCTTGGACTTTTAGGCTTTAGCTTAGCTTCAATTGATAGACGTGTCAGGCTGCAGCCGTGAGATTTAATCCATAGATTCTCACATAATACTTACTTTGGTTTTATTTCAATAATCGTGGTGTCCGGACCAGCACACCTCGACTATTCCACGGGTTACTTGCTACGTCCCACCAACACAGTTACCGACTCTATCTACCAAGGCTTTGACGGAAGAGAAGAATTCGCCTAGTGTTTTTGCCTCCGCTGGGAATTGAGCTTGAGACCTCGTGGCTCTCAAAAAGAAACAAATGTTGGCTGTTGTGCACTGTTTGCATGTAATTATGTTCTAGATTTACTCGTGCTACTATCTTATCAAACAGTCACTGAAAAAGAATGCTAAAAGTTGCTGAGTTCTTATGCTTGCCGGATCCAACTTGGACTCTGGTATCTTGGAAAACAACTTCGAATGTTGTATAAAATCATCCTGATAGGGGTTTTGGTTTCTTAATTTTTATTGGGGAGCTGCTGACTTACAAAATATATGCCAAGTAGTAACTATGAGCATAAAAGAGTTTAATTAGATTCAGTAACAATTCTTCGATTTGTCAAATATGTACTTATTGAAAGTGCTTATGCTTGAATCTTTTGAAGCAAACATAATAAGCAGGGCTGAGTTGGACTGCTTGGAGACCATCATAGGGGCACAGGGATTTGGTAGGGCTGTGAAAAGTGATGTATTGACTTAGGTAGAGAAAGTCTTGCCCTGCTTACTTTTTGCATAATTGAGCAATGCTGGAGATTCTTCAGTTGCATCTGAGTTAATTCTTCATGACATATATCTGGTGAAGTGTACTAATATTTTGATGGTATTTTGTTGAGTGAACTGCATCTTGCTATTTCACTTAAAATAGCTCCTTTCCTTTTCCACCCATATTATTTAGTTCAATGCAGTTGTGATCAAATAATACACATTTTTCATCGCTGATCCTCTGCTCCACCTTGAATATGACACGTATGCTGTGTTATTCAGTTGCTTTGTCTGTTTATTATGTGTAGTGATGTAATTGATTCTAAAACTCATGTCTGACCATGAACTAAAAGTAGCAAATGATCCCGAGTTCCAATTTGTAAAATCGTCTCGCCAGCCTGCTTTCCTATTGACTGTGTAATTGTTCTTTCCTAATTATGTTCTACAAAAGAGGGAAGCGGAACATCTTAGAATCTTATAATTTAGTCTCTGCAATGTCAGGTTATTTTACAACTTGAAGCATTCTTTGGCAGACCCTGTTGCAATGTGGCATGTGAAGGCTGAGGTTGCTTCAGCAGTTCTTCTGGTGGTAGATTTTGGTGGGTGGTACAAGCTTGACTCGAAAGCGTCTAATGAGAGTTCATCTGACATGATACATCACACCCAAGTTTCGCTGCTGAAGGATGTAATCGTGCCTTATACGCATCTACTTCCTCGTTTGCCTTTATCTGAAAACAAGAAAAGAGAAACCCTTCTCTATTTCAAAGGAGCTAAACATAGGCATCGGGTCAGTATTATTAACTTTTTCCAGAACTCTGGCTAAATATAATCTGCTACCTGCTTCTAACAATATTGCCTGTGTACGATCTATTTTTATTTGCAAGTCAAGTCAACTATTTTATGAATAATGTTATATCTAATTTAAATACCTTGAAAACTTTGGATTTCAAACTGGGGGGGAATTTCTTCACCAAGGGAACATTTTTAAAGCTTGGGACAAAACTAGGAGCTTGAATTATACCAATGCCTGGTAGAAGACAGGTTGTTTGAACCCAAGGGTATGGCCTAATGGTCAACAAAGTAGGTGAAAATCGTGAGAGACGAAGGTTCAAATTCCAGTAGAGATAAAAAACACTAGATGATTTCTTCACATTTGCTTAAGCCGTGGTGGCCGGTGGGAGGTAGCAGGCATCAGGTAGAATAATCGAGGTGTGCACAAACTGACCTGGATGCCACTGTTATCAAAAAGGAAGGGGAAAAAGATAAGGAAAAACAAGGTGTTTGAATTATACCATGATGCTGTTTATTAATAAATAATCATGCAAAAGTTTGGTCACTTAAAGATGTCGTTGTGCCATGTAGCTATTTACTGCCTCTTTTGCCCTTACAAAAAAAAACCTTCTTTGCTTCAGGGGAAATAAATATATGCATTGGGTAGTATTATTGAGTTCTCCCGTACGTCCATATGAGTATAGTCTGCTTGCTGCTTGCAATCATATGGGGTAAATGATCTATTTTTCTTGTGAGCTTCTTCACAAGATATGACTGGAACTCCTTTTGATCACAATGCAGACGGTATAGACTATTCTGTCATCAGATTTTGGCCTACTATTAATGAACTTGCTCTGTTTCCTGAAACTTTTCTGAGTACAATTAAGTACTAATTGATTGGAAAAATCATTGTTAGGGTGAAGCATAAGAAAAACTTGCGCAATTCTGTTGTATGCATGCTGTGCTTGGCCAGACATGCAACGTTGTATAGGCTTTTCTGTCTGTCAACAAATGCCTATATTAGACTATAACATCCCTCTTCTTGCTCGCTAGTTTTAGGTCATTATGTATTTTTTTGTGTGCAGGGAGGCATCGTTCGAGAAAAGCTTTGGGACTTGCTAATAAATGAACCCGGGGTAGTGATGGAGGAAGGCTTTCCAAATGCTACTGGGAAGGAGCAGTCTATAAAGGGTATGAGGACTTCAGAGTTCTGCTTGCACCCGGCAGGGGACACACCAACCTCGTGCCGACTTTTTGATGCCATTCAAAGTCTTTGTATTCCCGTCATTGTTAGTGACAACATTGAGCTCCCATTTGAAGGGATGGTGGATTATTCAGAATTTTCGCTGTTTGTAGCAGTTAGTGATGCACTTCAGCCAAGTTGGCTCGTGAACCATCTTAGGAGCTACTCTGACGAGCAAAAGGATAGGTTTCGGCATAAAATGGCTCAGGTGCAGCCTATTTTCGAGTATGAAAATGGTCAACTGGGTGGTATCGGTCCTATACATCCAAATGGTGCTATAAATAACATATGGAGAAAGGTTCACCAAAAACTGGCCATGATTAAAGAAGCTGTTATCCGCGAGAAGAGGAAACCTCCCGGTATCTCAGTTCCTCTTCGTTGCCATTGTACTTGATAAGTTTTTTTTTTTTTTTTTTTTT